TGCACAGCAGGGTGGGAGTCAGACCCAGGCTAGAAGTCTCCTTACTCGGTATTTTTCACCAGAGCTCCATAGCAACGTTCACAGGCACTGGTCTTTGGCCTTGCGCAATCTCTGGAACTCCTCGCGTCTGTCAGGGTTTGCTCGTGTCTCTCTCCATGCCCCTGAGAAGCCACAAGGACTGACTTCAGCTCCTTCCTTGCAACCTAACATTGGCCCACAGCCTTCTGCTAAAGCTGTCCAGCACAGCCTCAACCTTGCATCAGCCCAGCCCTTGGCCACCCCAAGGCAAGCTCAGAAGGTGTAAGCAGCCACAGGTGGCCATACAGGCCCTCTGTGATCCCCATTTCTGGCATTATTCAGGCCCCCCAGGCTCCTGGGAAATCTGTGTCCGCCCCCATCGGAGTTCACCAACCCCTCTCATGGGACAGCATGCAACCAACACCATTCCACCATGCCCGTCTCCAGCTGACACTTTCTCATCTTCCTGACAGTACTGTCTATACCTGCATGTTATTTCCTGCTCAAGAATCTTCCACTCCAGTCGGGATTCCTGCCTCCTGATTCTGCCCTAGCCCCAGCTTCTCCAGCATCTCTCCCTCTCGCCCGACTCTGCTGCAGACAGCTGAGCTCACCCTGAGTGCGAAGCATGCTGCTCTCCAGGCCTTGGCCCCACCAGCCCTCGCTGGACCTCAGAGGGTGGTTCCTCTCTGCTTACCTCCTCCCCATCGCCCTGCTGCACACACCAGGAGAACCTGTGTCCAATTCTGCACACCCCAGTCCTCTGTGGAGGTCCAGGTTCATGTCTGTCTTATTCACTGCTGTCTCTCCAATGGCACCTGCTTCTCCTCAGGTGCCTGGTGGGCAGCAGGTAGCAGCAGTCAGTCCACTGAGGTCTCTGCCCGCCTTCCTGGCCTCATGGCTGCCTGGACTTTAAAGTGGCTCTCTGGCCTCTCTCTCCTTTTCCTCTTCACTTGGGTGGCAGGTGGACCTGGTTCCCTTACTAGGTAAGGGCAGGGAGCAGAGAAGGGGGTCCAGGCAGCCAGCCCATCCAAGCTGGTGTCCTCCCTTCTCCTCTGGCTTCCCCTCTTTTCCTACCTGTTTTCTTAAGACTGCAGCTCTGACCCCAAGTTCAGGGTTGCATGTTGTGTGGAGTCCTCCCCTCCCCATGTCTTCAAGCGGCCCCCTCCTCACGACCCTACCCCTCTAGCCTCCTCAACTCCCGTAGTTTTCATTTCACTTGCCTGAGCCGCTGCGAGGACACTCTGCTGCTCCCTGAGCCCGAGGCAGGGACAGGACGGATGCCCTCCACTCCCACCCCCGCGGCGCACAGCCCCCTTCTCCTGTCTGGCCGCCAGCCCGCAAACTTCGAGAGCCTGTGTGGGGGTGCTGGGTGCGGATCTGCACCCTCCAGCGCTGGCTGGGCGTGCGGCCAGGGACCTGGAGGGAGCCGCCGCGAGGGGCTCCCGCCCTTGCTGAGGGCCGAAGCGCGCAGTCCCGCTCGACTCCGGGTTGCAGCCCCCCGCGGAGGCGGCGGCAGCGCTGAGTGAGGCAGGACAGCGGGGGCGTGGACGGTTGCGCCAGAGCTGCAAGGGCTCAGCCACCTCCCGCCATCCCCGGGAGCATCAGCTGCCCCCAGCCCCCCTCCCCGAGCCCAGGGGAGCGGCGTTCCCACCAAGTACCTCCCCTTTGCTGTTGCAGCCGTCCTTTCGCCTGCCCGGTCTCCTGCCGGCTTCGGGGCTTGCGGTGGAACTCCCGGTCCATCCACTTCGTCTGCCCGCACTTTCCTGGAGCCCGCCACAGGTGTGGGAGCGCGGGGGCAGGCGTCTCTGCCGACGCCCCTTGCTCCCCCCTCCTGGAGGGGGCTGGAGCTGTGAGGGGGACTGGGAAATTCTTCCCGGGGTGAGGCTGATTCCCAGCACCCTAACTCTGCCCCCTGGAGGGATTGGCCCCGCATGCTGAGATGAGGGCAGGGAGGGCTGTGGGCCTCCGTTAGTGAAGGGCTGCGTGGGAGCGTGAGGGGCGGCCCTTCCCATCGAGAGGTGGGGGAAGCTCAGCTGGAAGAGAATCTCTTCCCACACCCCTCTCCGCTTTCCACCTCATTCACTGGCGTCTCCATTCATGAACCAGCCCAGGGCTCTGAGAGGGAGGATTCAGTGGGCTCTGTGTGCAGACCAGCTCAAGGCCTGCAGCGTCTGGTTCTGGTCCCCTGGGAGCTCTGGCAGCACTAAGGAAGTTTTACTCAGGGACCCCAGCTGCAGCCTGGCCAAGCAAGGCTACAACTCTTGGTTCACTGTGTTCCCAGCAGCTGGGCTGAGGCTGAATATAGCCACAAGCCAGGTGTGTGGACTCAGCTTTGGAAAGCCACTTTTTTCACTGAATCACCAAGTGCAGTGACACCACGCCCCTGCTGCTGTGGCTCCGAGGGCGAGCAAGTTGCCCTGAATGCTAGCACGCCACCCTTGCCAGCTTAGCCCAAGTTGCCCTGCTGGTACAGTAAGGGGGGGTGGTCACCTGTCTGCACCTGGACTAACCCCCTCCACCAGGGCAGGTAGGGTGGGGAGGTCAGGGCATGGTCAGGTCATGGAGGATGGAGCTCCAGGGAGCCCACAGCAGGGCAGGCAGGAACCCAAGGCTGCCAGACTCGCACCCAGCTTCAAGGCTTTTCTGACCCGTCACCCAGTTCTTCCCTAAGGGACACAGCTCCTGCCTCTTGGTGTATCTGTTTCTTAGTTTATTCCACACCCACCCCCAGCACCTCCAGGTGCCTGTCCCTGCTGAGCCTCAGGGGGACCCTAGCCCTGCCTTGGGGAGAGCAGTGCTGGGGAGGTTCATGATGGGGTAGGGGAAGGACCACTAATCCCACAGTTCAAGTCCCACACCTGCCTGCTCCCACCTTGTCCACCCTTTGGCTTCTCAGCAATGAGGGTTGAGGAAGAGCCCCCAGGCTAGGTTTAACTGATGATGATGGTGATGAGGAAGGAGAGGCAGGGAGTGGGCAGAGGGAGGTGGAGGGGGGCAGTTGAAGGTCATGGGGGTGGCTTTCTTAGGCGGGAGGAAGCCACGTCTGTGCAGCTGGCCAGTGTTGTACAACTGGCTGGCATTTGGCTCCTTTGTAGAGGTGTGGCATGACTTGGACCAGGAGCCCTGGAACCACAGCCTAGCTCAGGGCTTTCTGTGTGCAGCTCCTGTGGCAGCTCAACTCTACTCCCTGTGGGATGAAATGGGCTTTCCCAACAGCCTGATTGTCCGGTATCCACCTGTTGGCTCCTGTGTGCCTGGGTCCCTGGTCCTGCTCACAAGAGGGAGACAGCCAGGGCCAGTTGAAGGGACTGAAGTAGGAGTCAGGGAAGCCCAGGGACTGAAAATAGTCAAGTCAGGTGGCTTCCAGGAGGAGACATTGCACGGATCCTGAGAGAATGTGACTCTTGTCTACGGCCATACCACCCTGAATGCACCGGATCTTGTCTGATCTCAGAAGCTAAGCAGGGTCGGGCCTGGTTAGTACTTGGATGGGAGAATGGACTCTTCCTGGCATGACTTAGACTGCCCACTAAGCCAGGGTGAGGTCACACAGAGCAAGTATTCAATCCCAATGAATTGAAACCACCACCATTTATGGAGCACATGCTGTATACCTCTGCCTAGTGCTTGGGACTGGACAAGGGGTGTAGAGGGCCCCTGAGGCAGCGTTAGAGAGAAAGAATGAACTTTTCCAGGCAAATCTCACCCGTCTGGGGAAATCCAAAAGGTGGGAAACCATAATTTAGAATAGACCAAAGGGAGGCAGAGGGGCAATCTGGTACAAGAAAAGGCCATGGGGTTTGGAGTATTTACCAACCATGACCCTTTGGGTACTCAAAACCAGAGGTGGGGGCTCCAATTACTGACCCCTTCCATAAAGACAAATAAGGGGGAGCCAGCTCAAAATACCCGTACTGCAGACCATAGATGAGGGACCAGGATGTCACAGGCAAGGGATGAGAGAGAAAAAAGGAGATCGGTCTTGCAGGGACACCAACATGTGACCACAGGGGTGCTTTTGCTGCTTCACACAGGTAAACTGACTTTCGCTCTTGCGCTTTGCTTCAGGCTTTCCCCTTGGTTCTGTACTGAGCGATGTGTCCGTGTGCCAAGGGAACCTGCTGTCATCTTGACCAGCATGCCACAGGACTGACACCTGCATGCACAAGGAGGCAGCTTGCTGGGAAAGTGTGGATGAAGAGGGTAAATAGGCTGGGGCCAGGGGCCAGGCAGGGAGGGGTTTGTGATTCAGGAATTCTTTGAAGTGGGCATTTAACGTGAACTGTTCTTTTTTTTTTTTTAAGTTTTATTTATTTTTTTTGGAAAGTCAGGTTTATTGAGAAAAGGAGAGACAGAAAGAAAGATCTGTTTCTGTCTGCTGGTTCACTCCCCAAGTGACCACAATAGCTGGAGCTGAGCCAGTCTGAAGCCAGGAACCAGGAGTTTCTTCTGGGAATCCCACATAAGTGCAGGAACCCAAGGCTTTGGGCCATCCCCTATGGCTTTCCCAGGTCACAAGAGGGAGCTGTATGGGAAGCGGAGCAGCCAGGACATGAACTGGCATCCATATGGAATCCTAGCACGTGCAAGGTAAGGATTTGGTCACTGGGTCATCATGCTGGGCCTTAGAGACATTCTTTCTTTTTTTTTTTAATTTTAATTAATTTATTTGTTTGAAAGGCAGAGTCACAGGGAGAAAGAGACAGAGAGATCTTCGCTCCACTGATTCACTCTCCAAATGGCCGCAATGGGATGAGCCAGGGATGAGCCAGGCTGAGCCAGGAGCTTATTCTGTGTTTCCCACATAGGTGCAGGGGCCCTAGCCATTAGCAGGGAGCTGGATCATAAGTGGAACGGCCGGGGCTTGAAATGATTCCCATGTGGAATGACAGCCCCGGCAGGGGGAGGCACAGTTCTAATGGAACAGGGAGGCCTTAGGAATAGGACTGTGCTTCCTTGTGGGGCAGGAATGGGAGATCTGAGGAGTGGTGCTCACACCCAGAGGCTCAGCTTGAAGAGCATCTCTCCAGCCAGCTCCAGGCCCCCTTGGACACCTGTCACGGCAGGGTTGACCTGTTTGTGTCAGTCAATGTGTGAGGAGCTTTTCAAGGGTGTGTTGTCCCCATCTGACCCACCGATGCCCAGAGTGTGGCCCGGAAGATGCACCCCTGTCTGCTGGTGAGCTCTGGATGCCCAGGACCAGGTGGCAGGGCTGAGGGACACAGATACCCCGGTAGGTGGTATCTGTGGACCATGGATGGAGCCTTTGGTTCTGAGGAAAACAGCTCAGCAACTCCAGACAGGAGCAGAGCTGAGCTGCAGCTCAGAGAGAAAGGCCTCGGGGCAGCCTGGAAGAGGGGGCCCTGATCCCTTTGGTTCATGCCCTGTGCCCCACCCCATGCCCGAAGGATCCCTTCCGCAGAGACTTGGCTGGACGAATCCAGGTCAAATGTCTTCAGGGCCTGGTTCACCTTTGGCTTGGATCTTCCACCCTTAGCCCCAGTACCTACTGAGCTGGGGGCGGGGGGTGGCAACAGGCAGCCAGTGTGGCCAGGGCAGGCCAGGCCAGGCCAGGGCAGCATCTTAGCCCTCCTCGGTGCCCCGGGCCCCTGGCTTCAGCTTCTCCAGAGTCCTGCTCACAGTGGACAGGCTGCTGCGGGCTCCTGGGGAGAAAGCAGGGCTTCTGAGTACACAGGTTCTCATAGGGCTGGCAGGTGCCGAGGCACCCAGGGGACTTGGGGTAAGCGTGTCTGGTGATGCCCGGGTTGGGGGAGGGCATCGGAGGGGGGCAACTCCAACCCACCAAATGAGGACAGAGGTGAGGACAGCCAGGAGGTGACTGCCTGCTTGAGTTTGGGTCCCACCACTTTTTGATTGTCTGAGCTTGGCCCTGTGGCCGAATCTCAGTTAGCCTTATGTAAAACAGCACTGTTTTCATACTGAATTGGTGCAGGAACTGTGCCTGGAATGGTCTCCTTCTCTGGGGGTGGAGGTGGGCCTTGCCTCATTCCACCCCCAGGGGGTGCAGACGTGTGGGCAGGGGGCCATCGTTGCTCTGGAATTTTCCAGAGTGTTTGGGGTCAGGAAACAAGAAGGCACTGGGTTTCAGGTGTCAGCTGAGTCGGATTCCACAGTGGGAGGGGGCGGGACCCTGGGGGAGGGGCGGGACCTTGAGGAGCAGGTGGGGTGGGAACCTTGGCTCTCTGTCCTGGGGATGCCTCTCAAGGCTTCTCCCTGGGCTCCCTGCCACCACCCACCCATCACCCTCTCCCCTCCCCCCACCTGTTGTGCTCTGATTTGAGGAAGAATGGATTCTGGAATTTCTGGAACTTACCTTCCTTATTGCCGTTAGTGTCAGATCTCCCCTGTCCTTGGTCTGGCTCTGAGTTGGGGTGGACTCTCAGGTTCCCTGCCAAAAGAGATTATCCTAGGGCCCTGGATTACTGAGTGGTTCCCAGATCAAGCCCAGTTGGGAAGTCCATTCTGCTATCTGCCCTGCATTTCTGCTCCACTACCCTTCCTTTAGGTGACCCCCCAAATGAGCTTGGCCAATTGGGTGAGGCCTTAGAGAAAATGAAGGCTTGAAGGAGAAGATGGTAGATTCTTCTAAGGAGGCAGGAGTCCTGGCAGAGAACAGGACTATGAGAACCGACACAGGACTGATGGAGTTGGCAGCTTATGCTGGAGGGGGAGGTTGTTGAGATGAGGCACGGAGCTCTGGCTAGGTCCTGGGAGCTTAGGGAGGACAGGAAGGCTTTGGGGCAGGGCAGGGCTTGGGAGAGAGGAGGAATCTACCCAGAGACCCTGGAGGCTTTGGGGGAGATGGACCCCAAGGTTCTCAGAACCAGTTTAGGCCTCTCTGTGGCTGGCAGCAGGCCATATCTGCTGCCCGGTAGTCATGGCAACGCCTGCACCACACACACAGCCAGGAGCAGTCTCCCATGTGGGCTGGGCTCAGCCACATGGGGGGTGGGAGGTGCAGACTCACACCCAAAGGGTCTCTCCCAGGCCTAGGATAAGGGGTCTGCTGGGGGGTGGGGAAAGGACTCACCCATGGCAGGCAAGAAGTGGTCCAGGTTGAGCCGGGCCTTCAGAAAGGGGTAGGCCAAGATAAGTAGCCCTGGGAAAACACAGAGGGGTCTGTGCTGGGGAGGATGCCTGCCTGGGGGCATTGGAGTGCCCTGCACGTGTGTGGGAGCTCAGGTGTGCAGGATGCAGAGGGACCCAGGACCTTGCTCCATCCTACCCAGGGAGCCTTTAGCTTGGCTTCCTTCCTTCATTCTGCTGGCTGGACATGGACCTGGTTGACAGTGTTGCCACCATGTCAACCTGCTTAACCAGTTAGACCTGGGGAAAGGGAGGCAGCAAAGCAGGCTCGGCCCAGCCACTCCCATCTCCTTCCAGACCTGCTGTCTGAGCCAGAAATCAGAGCTCTGCAGCCACTTGGAGGACCCCAGCCTGCAGGCCCTTCAGCATAACTGTGGGGACTATGGTTTGCCAGCCAGCTAGACAGGCAGACAGAAATGCAGCAGAGACACCCAGGAAAGCAAAGAAAGTACTTTGCTTGGGCCTGAGTCTGTCTGGCCTCAAAGAGGGTGCTTAGGAACTGTATTATTCTTAGCCTGTCCTATACTGACCCACTCCAGACAGGCTGATGCATCCGCCATGCACCCAAGAGCTGGAACTCCAGGCTGGAGAACCTGATGGGGGCATCCCGAGAGAAGGGTGAATCTCCCCTTCTGGGAGGAAGCCCAGACTGACTGACCTGCTCACCACCCTCTTTCCATTCCCCCCAGCCCATTTCCTGCTGACTTGAGTCCTCCCCTGCATTTCCTGTTCACCTGCTCCCTGCAGAGAATCTGCCCTACCCCAGACCAGCCCTGCACTCACTCACCCAACCCAGCGGCACCGATAAAGACACCGCCCATGGCAGCCGCTGCCTTAGACACAGACACACCGATGATGATGCTGCCGGCCACCAGGCTGAGGGCCACGCAGGCCAGCTGCAGGCAGCGGAAGTCTCTGCTGCTGATGGGGATGTCCATGCAGCCCCTGGCGGGTGGGGTTTGTCCTCAGGAGGGTTCTGGAGGTTTCTGTCTTCTCCGATGTCTCCTTGCTGGAGCTCCAAGTGATCCTTGGGTTGACCGATATATAACCTTGTGCCACAGCTCTCTAGGGTCTCCCAGCCCCACCCTGACATGAGAGTTCTACCAGGGTGCTCCTAAAGGTCCCTGAACTCGATGGCTCATGGCATTTCTGCCCAGGCCCCCATTTCTGTTTTGGCTGCCAGGGTTCCAGGGAACTGGGCCTGACCATGGGGTGCTCCACACTAACAGCCTGAACCCTGGAGAGAACAACCTGGCTCGGCTGCTGGGGCACCTGCCTAACTTCTGCCTATTAAAGTTTAAAGCCACGGGGGTGGGGTATAGGGAGCTGGCCCCAGGTACTCAGGTTCCTCAGAGGCAGGCTGTGGGCAGCTGCTGAGTTATTCATGAGCTTGCAATGCGAGTGGCTGCCTGGGTCCCCAAGGTCCCCTGGGTTGTCAACCCACCTTTCATAACTGGCTCTCAAGGCGTCACTGGGGACTCGGGGGTGTGAAGAGAACCCATGGGGTCCACCATCAGGGCCTACTCTGGCCTGGGCGTGTGTCTGCTGGGGTCTCAGAACTGGAACATGGGGAGACAAAGACAAGGCTCATGAGACAGAAAGTGGAATCTGCTGCCTGCCCCTGCCCTCTGGGCTCTGTTGCAGAGCTGAGGGGCCCTAGTTCGTGGTTTGATTACAGGTGCCTCCTTCTCCTCAGGGGCCTTGATACTCACGTGCATTTGGACTGCTAGGGGCGTCAGAAGGTGAGGCCCCCAGCAGGCTTGTGAGTCCTGGTTAGGAGCTGATGGGGTATTGGTTCTGGACTGGGGTACAGAAGAGGAGGTAGGGGTGGGGTGAGGCTGCAGGCTGGAGAACAAGAAGCCTCCTGACCTGGGCACCTCTTTCACAACCTGACTGACCCACCAGGCAGACACAGAGAGTGGTTGCCCAGCCCAGCTTGAGCCCTGACCTTGGCCTTGGCCTTCAGTTTGAACTGCAGTTTCTGGTAGCAGTGCATAGGAACCTGCTCAATCTCAGAACATGGCGCTGACCATGGTCCTTACCTGGGCACAGCTGCTGCAGTCCTATCACCCTGCTTTGATCCCACTCTCCATCACCTTTCTCTGGCCCCTCTGCACCTGCAGTGTGACCTAGCCAGGTTCAAGGTTTCCCTCCTTGTCCTATGCTCCCTGCTCCCAGTGTGTGACTGATGCTCCTCATTCTCAGGCTTTGCACAGCCTGTTCAACTACACGAATGCTTCCTGACCCGACAGTGTCTCGCAAGCCAGCACCTACATTTGTCCTGTCCTGTCCTGCAGACTGTGAACTCTCAGAGGCACGGTCAGGGAGCGAGCCTAAAAGGCCATGGCTGGAGATGATCTGGGTTGGGTTTCTGGATAGGAGTGCAACATCAGAGGGCGTGGGCATAAGCGGGCTGTGGGTGCAAGGGAACCCTTGTGTTCCATAAGGAGCTTTCCTGAGGTGTGGAGTGGGGGCCTGAGAGGGCCTCAAGGAGCATCAGAGCAGCTTTAGCTGAGGGTAGGCTGATCCACAGAGTCGGAGAGCTGGAGTGGCCACAGAACAGGTAGGCTTCTGGGTCATTTTTTGGCCACCATAAAGAGGAAGAGCCTGGAGGGTGAGCCACTACAGGTCACCTGGGAGAGCCTGGGTTTGAGTCCTGGTTCCTCACTCAAGCGTCCTGCTATTATGTACCCAAAGGAGGCAGAAGATGGTGGCTCAAGGGGGTAGGGTCTCTATAGCAACCCACATGGAAGATGGGGATGGAATTCCTGCTGTTTAGCTTTGGCCTTGGCCATTACGAGCACTTGGGGAACGAACCAGCAGATGGGAGCTCTCATACTCTCAAATAAATAAATAAATGAATGAAAAGTAAGCAGCAGCAACAGAAGCCTCTAGTGTTCCCCAGCCGCAACTGTTGCCACCAACACCCCCGGTGTCTGCTGGCAGGATGAAGTGTGATGATTCTAATTAGACATCAGATGACAGCCCCTGTTCCTACCACACATAACGAATCCCCAATGATGAGTTTAAGCAGGAATCATCAAAATAATTGTCCATGAAAGCAAGTACCTGACAGGCTGTGTTTGGGAATCTGAACTCTCCCTTCCCACTCGTGTCTGTTCTCCCCGATTCCCATGCTGGACTGGGCAGGGTCTGTGCCTGGCTGAGGTGACTGGACCATGCCACCCACAAGGTAGAGCTCCTGGGCCAGGCTCCCACAGTGCTCTGTGACACCTGGGACCCTCGGGCTGCCTGGGTATGGGGCTGGGTGGCAGAGGCTGCTGTCAGTGGGGAAAACAGAATCGCAGGTTGCTGAGCAGTTCCAGAAGTAGAGTTCATGGACAGGGGATGTCCCTTAATGCACAGAGCGAGCAGAACATTGGGAGGAGGGCTGCAGGAAGTCACCCTCAGTAACAAGATGACAGAGCTCTCCCAGCTCTGAGCTAGAACAGATGGGGAACCTGAGACCTGGGGAGACAGAGGACCCAGATTCCTGGCCGGCTGGGTTATCCTTTGTTTGTCTATGCCTCTGGGTTTCTAGGTTGTCTTATCTGAATAGCCAGGAATTGGTAACCCCACCCTCTGAGGGAGACTCTTTCTTCCAAAGATTAAACCAGGAACCGAGTCTTCCCTTCCCAAAGGCTCTGCAGTCAGTTGTGCTGCCTGCTGCTCCACTGATCGCGCACCTGGAGAGTCAGCCTTGCAGCGCCAGCTCACACAGGCTCACTCGTCCCTGAAAAGATCTGCTTGTCCTTGGGCCATGTGCGTGGGACAGTAGGCAGATGAATTCACAGAGCCTGTCTGCGGGAGGGGCATGACACTGCCCCACTGGTTCCCGATTGCTCACCAGCATCTGAGCCCCCTGGAGAAGCTGGGGGCTCCCCTGGGACCTCAGGGGTCAGGGTGTTGCCCAGCCATGGGTGCAACATTGAGGTCCCCCACCAAATCTCTTCTTTGTCTTCTACAAAGCAAGGGCTGGAGGGTGCCAAATCCAAGTGAGGGGTTGGGGGTGGGGAGGCAGAGTGGGTGAAAAGGCCCCAGCCGGTTTGCTTGTTTATTTTCCTTGAGGGGTGAGAACCCTGGAAAAGAGCATGATTAATTTGCTGATCCCCTGGGGGACGGGCAGTTTTCTTGGACTGTTCAGAAGCTGAAGTCAGAGAAGTGGCTTCCAAGGCAACTGCTGCCATGGCAACGAGAGTGCCAGCCTTGGACGGGGGTACCTTGTTCCTTGCCCTCCCCTCCCCGACCTGAAGCAGCTGAACTGGTTGGCATGGGACATGGAACTGGTGAGGGACAGTTGGTCAGGAAGGAGGGACAAAAACTAGATGACCCCTGTGCCCAGACAGCCTCGGCTGGGAGTCCTCAGGGTGTGATGTCAGCACTGGGGGCAGGCCAGGCTCTGCCAGCTGCAGCTAAGGAAGAAGCATGAGGCCTGAGGCACTGCAGCTGGCTGGAACCAGCCCTTGCTAAGGCCCATCCAGTATGAACTGGGGTGTAGGCTGGGCACCAGTTTCTACCACTGCAACTCTCAGGCCTGCAAATGGCCCTGCAACCTAGGACCAGCCCCGTGCCTCTGCCAAGGAGCTCTACCCTCCAAGGATGACCAGGTGAACAGTGACACAGGCAGGACTAGTTCTGTTCCCACCCTCCTGTTCCCACCCTCAGACCTTCCTCTGGCACCCCAAGAGAACAGGAGCACCAGCCCAGGAGGGGGTCCAAAGAGGCAGGTCTTCCAAGGCCTCTGGGATAGGGCTCCAGCAGCTGGAGGAAAGAGAGCTCCTTTTCCTGTCCCCTGAGCCATGTGTTGATGAACCCTGCCCCAGGAGTCAGCAGCGAGGACAGCAGCCACAGCCCACACAGACTCGGTGTGCCTGGACTGCTCTGAATACCCGGCCACATCCCAGTGTTCACAGCAGCACCACACACCGAGCACCATAATCTGCATTTACAGCTGAGCACTTTCACAGACAATCCTGCTGGAGGTCCAGACGTGAACCCAGGCAGTGTGGATCTGGGTCCCAAGCCTCTAGACAGAACTCCAGTCCCACCCATCCTAACAGCCCTGGGGCAAACCATTTCTCCTTTCTCTGCTTGATTCTGCATGTTCAATGGGGGTAACATGACAGCATCAACCTCATGTGTATTGCTAGGACTGAACCACCTAGGGCGGTAAAACCAAGTTAGACACAGTAGCCTCTAAGAGCCATGGAAGATGGGAGGGGCTCTGTCAGGGGCACCAGGGTCAGGGTGGTGGCAGTGTGGGAGGGGCCAACTTGAGCACAGGTGCTAAAGCAGGAAAGGATGGAGAGGCAGAGGGTTTGCTTGATCCAGAAAAGCTCTAGAAGTCACACTCCCGCTGAGCTAGCCCAGAGGAGGGCTGCCTAGGTTGGGGCTGGGATGCAGGGAGAGAACTCATCATTCAGAGCTGCGTCCCAGCAGCGAGGTGCCTTTGAGCTCAAAGGCACAGGTGGTTCAGGCCTCACTTCAGGTAAGGATGAGGTTTTAACAGTCACCTCAGAGGAAAGGCCATCACCAGAAGGAATGTCATCAGCAAGGAATGGGTACTCACAGACAGACCATTGGGTGGTGGAGCCCACCTCTTGGGCCTGGAATAGAGAACCCCTAACTGTGGCTCCCCTGGAAGAAAGCCCTCATAGACATCCCCAGCTACTCCCCTAATGCTCACCTTGCTCTTATTACCTCTCTGGGGACCTACTCCCATTCGGGCCCTCTCCAGGAGGCTCTGGGGCTCACTGGGATGATGCTGGGGATATACTGGAGGGCTGGTGGGACAAGCTCAGTAGCAGGCACTTAGGTGGCCTGCTTGGGACAGGAACAGTACAGGCTCCTCTGGGCAAGCACTCTGTTAGGGCTGTGTTGAGTTTGCTCTAATTCCTCTTGAAGTCCCTGCACATGGGAGAAGTGACTGCTAAATGTGTGAAGAATTCCATCTCCTCAGGGAAGCGAAGTCTCCCTCCTCTTGCAGAATTATGCTGAGGGATCTGGACAAGTGGCACTCTCTCTTAGCCTGGCCAGACTCAGCCTCAGTCCTGGGTGAAGAGAAGGCCACAAGTGTACCACAGCTTGGATTTAAAACAATTTTATTAAAACAAGCACAATGCACAGTGGCACCATGGTGTTATGTGCACAAGTAACACACACAGGTCTGCTTTCTTGCCATCGAGCAACAGCTTGGCCTGCAAGACCACACTCCACCTGCTGTCCTCAGAGCCAGACCTGAGGGCATGGTGGCAGTACCTGCCCTCGGCCTCCAATTGGCTCATCAGAGGAACAGCTTAAAAGCAATTGTCTAAAAGAGCGCAGCCAGTTAAAACCTGACCTGGCAACACCCACAGCTTGTCGTGGGAGCTTGGAATCCCATCTCGGCTAGAGGAACATGGTTAAAAGTTTTTGTTTTTTTTAAAAAAAGATAAAATAATACTGATGGTAGCAGCAATCCCCAACAAGGAAGAAGATGACAAATGGGGGCACATCTTGGTCACGGCAAAGAAAGATTATATGATTCTCTGTGCTGCAGACCAGAAAACCATGCCGGCTGCCTGGATGTGGAAAGCTCTCCCTTCTCTTCTCTGAAATAAGGGCACAGATTTGCTGGGGCAGGGGAGATGACAGGCAGGGAGGACACATGAAGGTGGAAGGACAGCTGGAGAAGGGAAGGACTGCCTCTTGGCCAACTCCTGAAGGCTGCAGCCTGGGCAGCCGGCTACGGGGAGTCCAAATTCCAGGGAGTCCAGATGCCCCTGGCATGGGGCCCAGTGCTGTCCTCCTCTGCTGGCCACGGGTGATTATGCAAAGTGACAAGTGACTGGCTCCCTTTTCAAAAGCAACCCTTTCCAAAAGAGATTTCTACTCTGGGCCCCGGAAGAGAGGGTGGGGATAAGAAACCCTGGTTGCTGAGTTGAGCCCCCTGCCTGCTCAGGGACTTCCAGGGAGAGGGGGTGGCTAAGCCCCTGCCAGGTGTGTTGGCACTGCTCAGAGGGCTGTGGGTGGTGGGCAGGGTTCTTGAGTGTCACAGCGGCCGGCCTGGGCCAAGGCCCGTCGGCGAGCCAGGCGTGACTTGGACGGAGGGGACAGCTTCACAGAGCACAGGCGCTCAGCCAGCGCCTCCTGCTCCTCGGCCTGCTGGCTCTCCTCATGTTGGGATAGCTGGCGGTTAAGGGCGATGGCTTCTGCTGCAAAGAGCGTCAGGTCCATGGTGCTGCTGTTCCTGCTCGGGCAGGGAAGGCGATGGTTAGAAGCTGGCCCCTGGGTCAGCAGGCCAGGTCCTGGTGTGCCATTTGCCCCAGGCTCTGTGATTCCACACCCCCATCAGGTTTTCCTGAGCTGTTATGAGCTGCTCTCTCTAAAGCAGTGCTTGCCAGGGTTTGCATCTTGTCATTGAGACAGGAACAGCCTCTGGACGGGGTTTGAACAGCCCCTTTTCCTCTGTGCTCCCGCCTGGCTGCTGCAGCAGAGGCAGGGCACAGGGCACTGAGCTCAGTCCACTTATCTCGCAGAGCAGAGGCTGGGGCTCTTTCTGTCTGGGTCCCCAGCATGAGATGTGTAATTTGACTTTGGCAGATAAATCTTCTGAAGGGATCTGAGGCCTGGGGCCTGAAGGCAGCTTCAAGGAAATGGAACTCCACCGGGCAACAGCATTCTGGGTTGAATGGCTGGATATTACGGAGGTATAAGACTTTTTCATGTTCTTCCTCAAAACTGGTTGTGAGGCCAGCTCCCACGAGGGTTGTCCTACAGTACCAGCTGCTGCCCTTTGCTTATTTGGGACCTTGTCTAGCTGTTAAAGGTCTCTGGAGTCAGTGCTGGTGCAGTGGTTCAACTGCGTAAATCCTCCATCAAGTGCCAGCATCCCTGTATGGAAGCTGATTTGTGTCCCAGCTGCTCCACTTTCAACCTAGCTCCCTGCTTGTGGCCTGGGAAAGTAGTGGAGGATGGTCTAAGGCCTTGGGACCCTGCACCCAAGTAGAAGACTTAGAAGAAATTCCTGGTTCCTGGCTAATTGGCTCAGCTCTGGCCATTTGGGGAGTGAACCACTTTCTCTCTCCTTATAAATCTTTAAAACAACACAAATGACAAAATAAAAGCTATAGTGGCTGAGGTGCTGCAACTTGCCACACCAAAATCACATACTGGAGCGCCAATTAAAGTTCTAGCTGTTCTACTTCTGGTCCAGTTCCCTGCTCATGTGCCTGTGAAGGTGGCAGAAGATGGTCCAAGTATTTGGGTCCCCGTTACCCACGTTTGCAGACCCAGCATTTCTGGCTCCTGGTTTCAGGCTGGCTCAGACTTCACTGTTGTGGCCACCTGGGAAGTGAACCAGTGGCCAGAGGACCTGTTCCTCTCTTGGTGATGCATGTTAACTTAGATTCCCCAGTTTTCTCATCTGCAGAATGGGAGTGGCAGGAACCCTCTCTTTGACTTTGTGGTGAAGATTACAGATGTGACATATATGAAGCCCTTAGTACCATGTTTGGCATGTGGTAGGTTTTGCTACATGGGGGCCACTACTGTCACTGTCTGGTGGCTTTTGAGTCCTGTTACTTTCACCTCTGAGAGAGCAGAAGGATGCCATGGTGTGCATAACCCACTGGGGAGGCCTGTCTTGGACTGTGAATGGTGCTTTCCGGTTTGCATTCCAGTGCGATGGCAAACAACCTGGGGAATAGCCATGGGGCTGGAGGACAGAGGAAGCAGAGGAGAGGGAGAGGGGAACACAGCCATGGAGGAGAGGAAAGGGGGAGAGGGATGAGGGGAAGTGGTGAGAAGGGAGCCCCTTCGGGGAAGGATACCTGAGCCTGGAGACGGCTGAGAGCTTGGGGGCTGGGGGGTACTGGAGGCATTTACCTCTGGAGGACTTGCGGCGTGGGGAGTCCTCTTTCTGGAGCTTGCTAGAACAGGAAGGACAGATGTGTGTGAGTAAGCACTGCTGCTCCTTCCTGGAACTGCCCTGTCCCAAGTCAGCACTGAGAGGGTGGCTTGCCACAGGCGCTGGGCTGTGCTTGCCTGCAGGGTCAGTCCTTGCAAGGAGGGAGCCAGGCAGGTACAGCCTGCAGTCATTGCTCCCTGCTTTGCACCGTTGCCTGGACAGCCCCTCTCCCTCAGCCTGGCTGGCCTCAGCATCCTCCCAGACCCAGTTCAAAGCAACCTTCCTGCTTCTCGGGTACCCCAGACCAGAGCACTTGGATAAGCACTCATTATACTTCATTCTTGTCTGCTTCTTTCCACTAAATCAAAGGCATGTAGTCTGTATTCACTCTTGGGGGCACTGGGGATTAGCCACATAGTAACTTTTAGACTAGGCCCCTGTCTATAACTTGGACCTGTGACACTGGCCTTCTCCCTATGGTAAGTCTACCAAGTCTGCCTAGGGCCTGTGGAAGCCACAGTAGGGCCTGGCAGGCCTGTGGAGGGGCAGAGGTCAGCTTTGGCTATCAGCCAAGGAATTGCTAAAACAATATGCTTTCTGGTGAAGATTCAGTTCCTGAGCTGCGTGAGGTCACCATTTGCCCTATGGGCTACTGCATCCAGACTCCTGCACTCCCACTGTGGCTCCACAGGATAGCAAGAATTTGCTTGTTCCTAGCCCTCTCAGCTCATGGCAATTTTGTAGACAGGGATGGTACTACAGGCCCGGATGACACTGATAGGCTGCTTCCTGGGCCAGGGAGCCTCTGCCAATAGTGGGATGCTGCAGAGGTGCAGTGAGTGGCCAAGGTTAGAGCCACATGCATAGAGGGCTCAGCAGCAACCAAGGCAGGGGTTAACTCATTCCACATGCACAAGGATTGCAGCCTGGGTGCCCTCCGTCCTTTGTGGCTGTGCCACCGGGCAGGGGAGGTGGTGTGACTCCCCTCCCTGGAACCACTTACCCCCTGCACCCATGGGTGTTGCAGAACTTGGGCAGCGCTGAGTCTCTGCTTGGCATCCCGCACTAGGAGCTTGGAGATGAGGTCTTTGGCCTCGCTGGAGATGTGTGCCCAGTCCTTGTCTGGAAACTCGTACTTGCCTTCCTGGATGCTCTCAAACAGCTTGTTCTGGGAAAAGAGGGTTCCTCCTGAGGCCACACTGGCCAAGAGACAGGCAAGATGTGCTACCCCAGCTCCCAGTGGCGTCAGCTACAGCTCAGGGCTCATCCCTGACTTTCTACTCTCCCCCGTCATCAGAGTTCCAGGGTGGCTACGCTGCTTGGCAGGCAGGCTGGGTGAGGTGTGGGGAGGTCCCTTGCAGACCAGAGCCCAATCCCCTGATCTTGTGTGAAGGGACCTTGGTGACCTGGCTCTTGGGAACCCCTCAGGCTGTCTCCTACCACTGTCCATCCTTTGGCGGCTCCGTTCTGAGCCCCTGAACACATGAAGCTGCCTGACACCTGCAAGAAGGGAAGCGCTGTCCCTTATATTTGTTTTTAAAGATTTATTTATTTTTATTGGAAAGGCAAATGTACAGAGAGGAGGAGAGACAGAGAGGCAGATCTTCTGTCCGATGATTCACTCCCCAAGTGGTCGCAATGGCCAGTGCTGCGCCGGTCTGAAGTCAGGAGCCAGGAACTTCTTTCCAGGTCTCCCACACGTGTGAAGGGTCCCAAGGCTTTGGGCTGTCCTCAACTGCTTTCCCAGGCCACAAGCAGGGAGCTGGATGGGAAGTGGAGCAGCCGGGATTAGAACCGGCATCCATATGGGATCCTGGCGCGTTCAAGGTGAGGACTTTAACCACTATGCTAATGCGCCGGGCCCTGTCCCTTATATTTGTACCACTCACTCCTCTCCCTCTCTGGACAACATTCATCCTCTCAGGCACTACCTTCTCTGACAGTCAACCCTGAACTGGCTGGGCTGAGTAGCTCATGGTCTCTTGTGGCTTCAACAGAAGAGGAAGGGGCGCTATTAAACCTTCTGCCAAATGGGGAGCAGCCTCCATCCCAGTCCTGCTTGGCATTACAGATGCCCTGCAGGGCAGCTCACCTGGCACACCTTGCAGACCTCTCCCCGGTCCCAGCCACAGTCTGCCCCGCAGTGGCCCACAAAGGGCGGATAGCCACTCAGCATGATGTAGAGTACCACGCCCAGGCTCCACAGGTCACAGCGCTTGTCGTAGAACGTGGCCTCGTCCCTGAAGACCTCCACCACCTCGGGGGCCATGTACTCCGCAGAGCCGCACTGTGTGTGTGGATGGGAGATGGCAGACAGGATCAGGGTTAGTTGCAGGGGAAGGATGTGGCCACAGCAACATACAAGAGGACAGACCGATAAGCAGGGGTGTCTCAGAAGGCCACCGAGGCCACCTGGTACTGCGAAGGTGCTCAGAGGAACCAGGTCACTTCACACCTCATCAGATGCACCACAAGTGCTGAGTCTCCGTCCCATCCATGTTTTCCGGCTCTTCTGAAGGCAGAGGCCCTTGGTCAAGAAGCTCTGGGAACTTCTCCCTGCGTTAGCTCTCTAGAAACTGGCAGGTAGCAAGCCTGCAGCTTTGGGAGGGAGGTGTATGTGGTACAGCAAGCACATCTGAAAGCAACCTGGCCAACCTTCCAGATTGGCTGGGAGCAGGAAGCGTGGGAGTTCAGAATGCACACACGCACACACACGCGCATGCATGCACACACACACACACACACCACCCCCACCCCACTGGGCTGCAGGAGCTGTTTTCTCCCTCTCCTGGTGCAGGCAGGAAAGGCAGGCCTAGGAACAGAATTCAGGGGTCTACCCTGGCAGAGAAAACTACTGATAAGAATACAGATACACCCTTTATGCTTCTCCTCTTCATTATTTCAGGCTCATCAGGAAACAAGGCTCTCTTCACAAAGCTAATTTGACTGGAAGATGGTGAGCATTCCTGAGAAAAGGCATTTTCTTTGTTACTGGCAATTAGAATGAATGGCTTTGAGAACAAGGGAGCCCAGAATACTAGCAACAAATACGGAAACATGCCCAATAACGCTGCTTATCATAAGACATGCTACATGCATGTTTGTATTCAAAGGCATGTCTTGCCGAAAAAGGATTTAGGAACCTGCACTCAGAAGCATGCAAACCTCTTTAGAACCTTCCAAACCACTGTAGATCAAGTGAGCTCCCAGCAGTGGCACCTGGGCTGGTAGGGAGAAGCCGGAGGAGCCACAGGGTAACTTGCAGAGGTTTGCCAATTCCACAAGCCGAGGGCCTGGAACTTCACTGTTCCCTTTCCACCCTCATAAGGTGGACACACCGCGATGTCAACCGTGGAAACAGGACTCACACAGCTGGCCACGCGCTCACTGGCAGTCATGTCTGCTTTCACCTGGGCCAGGCCAGGCAGGTCTCAGCAGAGAGGAACCACCCAAACTGAAGGGTCTAACCTAAGTTTCCTTAGGGACTAGGGAATAGGGGCAGGCTTGCAAACTCCCAGTTCAGAGCAGTGAGCTGCAGGACAGCTCAGGCAGCAGGAGGTGCCACCCACACACTCAACTTTCCTTCCTTGTCCTCTGTTTTGGACTTCACAACTCTGGAATGCGGCATTCCCAGAAGGAAGAAGCCCAGGATCCCCAGTCATACGTACTGGAGTGGTCAGCTCTGGGGTGGTTATGGGGGTGCAAGAGTTGTTCAGTTTTACTCCACTGCCTAAGTCAAAGTCACAGATCTTCACCGGAGACACCTGAAAAGGGAAGGAGAAACCAGTCACAGGGACGAGGAATCGAGGGGCAGGAGACCACATGGTGCTGGTGCAGCTGAGCAGCTTTAAGACTACAGCTCAGCTTCACCTACCATTCACCTTCTCTGGGTTAATTACAAGGTATTCCCTTGCTGTCCAATCCGTGCAGGGCAAACGAGCCAGGAGTACAATCCTTGGCTAACTCAGGGGGCTCAGGGGACTAATTTTTTAAGGTTTGCTTGCTTGGGTTAAGCACTTCCAAGTCTCACCTGGGGTGAGACTGGGGTGGTCGGCTGCCATGGGTGGCCTCAGTCTAGCCCTCAAGTGCTGGATGCTGTGCCTGAGACACTGACAGGGTGGTTCTTGCCTGGGGTGCAAGCAAGAGGGTGTGGCAGGAGCAGCACAGTGAGGGGACCAAAGATGATGGTTTTAGGAGCCCCAGTTCACTCATGCACCTGCCCTGGAAACCTCGCCAACTCTTCTAGCTTCTCTTTTCTTTTTCTTCCCTCTTTCCTTCACTTCATTTTGTGTCCAGTATATTAGGCTGCCACCTGTGACATCAGCATCCCAAATAAGCGCTAATTTGAGTCCTGGCTGCTCTAGCTTCCTGCTAATATGCCTAAGAAAGTAGTGGAAGATGGTTCAAGTGTTTGGGCTCCTGCTACTCATGTGGGAGACATGGATGGAGTTCCAGGTTCCTGGATTTGGCCTGCCCCAGTCCCAGCAGTTGTCATTTGGAGAGTGTACCAGTGGATGGAAGCTCTGTCTTTCCCTCTTTCTACGTCTGCCTTTCAAACAAACACATCTTTAATTTTAAAAATTAATAGCAGTCTTAGTAGATGTAGATGTAAAGTAGTATCCCATTATGGTTTTGATTTGTTTCCCTAATGACTAAGAGTTGAATATCTTTCTGTGTGCTTATTTGTCATTTGTATATCTTTTTTGGAAAAATGTCTATTCAAAGATTCTTTTTTTTTTTTTTTAAAAAATAGTATTGTTTTCCATTTTAATTGAAAGACAGAGAGAGAGAGAGAGAGAGAGAGAGATCCTCCATTTACTGGTTCACTCCCCAAATGCCTGCAACAGCTGAGACTGGAGCAATGTTGGGAGCCTGGAATTCAACCTGGGTTTCCCTGGGTAGCAGGGACCCAAGTATCTGGCCCATCACCTGCTGCTTCCCAAAGTGTACAGTAACAGAAGCTAGAATTGAGATGTGAATACAAGCAACTCCCTGTGGGGTACGGAATCTTAAGTAGCACTTCAACCACTGTGGCAAACATCTGTGCCCTTTGTCTCTTTGAATTGTTTACCTTCTTGCTGTTAAGTTTTAGAGACTCTTTATGTATTTTGGACATTAAGCTCTCACCAGATGCATTATTTGCAAATACTTTTTCTTATTCCGTAGGGTAGGTCTTTTCACTTTCTTGATGTCCTATGACAGTTAGCCTCTCTCTCTTTTTCAAAAGATTTATTTATCTTTATTGGAAATGCAGATCCACAGAGAGGAGAGACAGAATGGCTGCAAAAGCTGGAGTTGAACTGATCTGAAGCCAGGAGCCCATATGAATGCAAGGTCTCAAGATTTTGAACCATCCTCTGTTGCCCTCCCAGACAATAAGCAGGGAGCTGGATTGGAAGTGGAGCAGCTGGGACATGAACTGGCACCCATATGGAATCCCATCACTCACAAGTGGAGGATTTAGTCACTGAACCATTGTGCTGGGCCCAGACTTAGCCTCTCTGTGGTGTTAGTTTTTTCCCACCATAAAAATATGTGTTGAGGAAGGGGCAGCAACAAACCAGTGCCCCAAGAAGCAAACCCAACAAGGGGCAGGTAGCATTCTGAGAATCACAGGCAATTGTTGGGAGTTTGGAGCACCTATGCAGTACTTGGGTCAGACTTAACTTTATTTAGTCAAGTGGGTGCACTGGACTAGAAAATACCAATCTTGTGCAGGCTTTATGTATCCTACAAATTTGTAGTCTTAAGCCAACAAAGACAAAGGGCAACGAAGGGATAAGGACAGATCCTGCTTGGAGTTAGCTAACACTTCACGGTAGCAATAACATTTTCAGAGGAATCAGTTCTCACTGGTACGTGAGGTCAGCAAAAGTGTTAGTGATCTGCACTGGAAATCTGGAAGTTTCCCTCATCCTAGGAAGTGGTAACAGCTCAAAAGTGGATCTAAGTACCTTTTCCGGAGATTCACACAATATATTCTCTGGCTTCAAATCGCGGTGGGCAATGCCTGCAATGACAGTGAGCAGAGAAATGGTTAACATGTGCACATAATTACCAAACATTCCACACACAATTAATTTTTTCCAAATGCTGTTGTTCGCAGATTAATTCCCAATTATGGTACATTAAAAAATCAACGAGCTGCAGGAAGCAGAAGTAACCAGAGACACAAACCAAAAGCACAGTGGATTCTCCCAGTTCTTTTTGAAGCAGAGGCTTTAGAAGTGGGCCAGGGATGAGAAGGGCTAAATGAATCCCAGCTAGTCGACTTTTCAGCACCACGGTGATGACCCAGAGGAAGCAAGCCTAATGCAAAGCAGAGCAGAGGGCCTGCAAACGGCAATGCTTGGGAAAGCGGTGCAGACATAATTAGTGCCTTGTTTGAGAACATCTCTGGGGGCCAACACTGCTCTACCTCATTTCTTCTTGCGCAGCTGATTTTTAAAAAGATTCTTCCGGTGCAACTTCCTGAATATGTAGGGGACCAAGTATTAGTAAACATATTTCTCAAAGCTTGCTAGGTTCCCTTCTCACCTGTCTTACACATCCCAGGCAACCCTGCCAGCATTATAGCAAGGAGCGCTTGGGCCCAAGGTTGCTGCTCTTAAGAGACCCCTGCATCTGGGCCAGGTCTCCTACAGGAGACTGCAGTCTCCCAAAGGTGGGGTGGGTTAAAGCCTGGTCAAGAAGATCACTGACGAAAACCATCTTCTAAGAAAGAAAGAGACAAAGAACCAACTCTTAGGACCAAGGGAGTCTTCCTCCCACAGCACGTGGCAGAGATAGAAGCTGGAAGGTGGGCCCAGCGCGTGGTCTAGTGGCTAAAGTCCTTGCCTTGAATGCACCGGGATCCCATATGGATGCCAGTTCTAATCCCAGCAGCTCTACTTCCCATCCAGCTCCCCTGCCTGTGGCCTGGGAATGCAGCAGAGGATAGCTGATTCTGGAGCCCCTAAATCCATACAGGAGACCCCAAGGACCCCAAGCTCCTGGCTCCAGATTGGCTCAGCTGTGGCTATTGTGGCCACTTGTAGAGTGAACTAGTGGATGAAAGATCTCTGTCTCTCCTTCTCTTTTTAACTCTGCCTTTCAGATAGATAGATAAAAAGATAGATAGATAGATAGATAGATAGATAGATAGATAGATAGAAAGAAAGAAAGAAAGAAAGAAAGAAAGAAAAGCAGGGTGTGCTTTACTGAAACTCCCTTGGCAATGAGCTCCTCAGGCAGCCCTCCGACTCAACAGCAGCAGGCAAAGGCCGGCCCAGCTCACAGGAGGGACTTCACAAGAGCAGAAAGACCCGAGCTCCAGCAAATTCCAGAACTTCATCAGTCTCCTAATTGAATGAGAACTAGGAGCAGCTCAGTCCAGCCTGCACAAATTGAGCCGGGCTACAGCTCCCTGCACTAAAAGTGAAGGATATTTTCCATTACAGCAAGTGTTCCCACAGAAGGATCATGAGCCACACATGGAGCCTTACCCTCCAAATCGTTGCCCATGGCCCTGCTATCCCCCGGCCTGTGCACTCTGAGAGCCAGGCTGTACTAATGGGCCTGCCTGCACAGAGCACACCGGCCATTGAACTGCTCCGGTTCATTTCCCAGAGGTTAAGCTGCGGTGCTCCAGTATTTAAAAGTATGGAACTTGTTTCAGGCCTGACCCATTCTTGCCTAATTCATCTTCCCAGCGTGAAGTTATTTAGAAAACAGCCCAGTTCAGCTGAAAATCGTTTTTCATCCCCTCCAACTTGTTCGCGGTCACAGGAGCAGCCAGGCAGCTAGATGCTAACAAGTACCTTGGAACTCCTAAGACATTGGCAGTCTCTATTCCCTTTAGTATATTTTTGTAAATAAATAAATAAATAAAACCGCCTTTACTCCTCCTCCAAGGCACAGCTCTTGTAGAAAGCATGACCCAGTTTTGCAATCCATAGCAGCAGCTCAGGGAGCAGTTGTACATCTCTGTCAGGCAGGTGTTACCTACATGCATCCCAGCTTTCAGGAACACAACTGCTGCCATTCATCACATGCACAAAGGACAGGCACCCCTTCCTGGAACGCGCATTCCAGGTGCCAGTCAGGGCCCCAACATGGATGCTGCAGCATGAGCATTTCTCTCAGCCGCTGGTAGAGCTGGGGTGGGGTCCAGGAACTGGAGCACTACTGGTGCCAAGTGGGAATGTGTGAGCAGCGTGCCTGCAGATGGCTCTGAGCAGTGCTGTGGCTGGCTGGTCAGTGTCCATAGTTGTGAAAGGCGTGGAGTTATGTCACGAGTTGCTTGCTGCATTCCCAGTTAGGAGACGTTCAAGTTTAGGGAAATTAATATTAGGAATAAAGATGTTTTCAATGGAGGCAGATGAGGTTGAACAGCTGCTAAGTGTCAGGAATGGGCTTCTACCTATACTGTGTCTACACAACTCTTTCATAGGTACACATAGACATGTACATAAACAGATCTATGACTTAAGAATAGTGCCTGCTGCATGAAAAGTGCCACCTAAGCACTACGTGTAATTGAGGATGATCTTACCTCTCTTAAGCTCGCCATAACGTTACAGCACAGGCATGATTACTGGCAAGCACACAGCTGGGAGAAAGGCAAGCCAGAGGCCAGGTTTTCCCTGGCACTGCTGTTAGGTGAATTAAAAAAAAATACAAGTAGATTTATGTAAATGGGAAAAAAATCCCCAACAGATTTTATTCCCTTCAGAAGTTCCTAAATAATCAACCCTAGGAAAGGGACTGTAAGTTGAGGTATAAGTCAAACAGGAGCAGTGCACTGGTTACCCCTGAAATGTGTGGATAGAAAGTATGTTTTTCACTTTCTGTGAACAAGGTCTGTACAGCTTCATGTAGCCTGCCTTATCAATTTGGAAGAAAAAACTACTAGAAGGAATAACACCAAATGCCACAGGATGGCTGCACCAAGGTTGAGTTTTGAGTGTTTGTCAGGAAAAGGTGCATCAGTGATACACAGTCTTATGCCCACACACTAACAAACACCCTGGCAAACGTGGAGTTTACTTTTCCCTTCCTGCTCTTCCTTCTGTTTTCCTATGCTGCTTAATAGCTCCACCCTCTGCCCACCAGTCACAGCAGGAGCCCTGAAACCATCCTGATTGCTCTCCCTTGCGTGGAGAGCACATTCTAATCTCAGCTGGCTGCTGGCTGCTGGCTGTACCAGCTCCAGCAAGCACTCTACCAGGCCTGCCCTCTCCCTCAGCCCCCAGGGGATGGACTGCCCAGCTTAGCTATGAGGCCAAGGCCGGGTTCACCTTTGGTGTGCAGGAAGTCTAGCGCAGCAGCAACATCCCGCACCACTCGGCTGGCTTCTCGCTCATTGAAGTGCTTCTGCTTCTGGATGTGGGCGAGGATGGAGCCTGGGGAACAAAAGGGGAACCAAAGAATCGCTCTTGAGTTCAGTAAGTGTAAGCTTCTCAGATTTGTCCCAAGTTTGAGGTGGGGACATAGGCTGGTTCATCGCTAATGTCCAGCACCAAGTATGGGGCATGGCAGAGAGCAGGTACCAACACATATATCTGTTGGACACAAATGGATTGCTTTCTTCTGTATCTGTCTAGGATGAGCTCAGTAGGGAGAGGGGACAATTGCTCGCAAGGCAAAATGTATGAATGCCACTAAACGTGAACGCATACGGGGCTGAGGAAGCCTGGCTACAGGAACAGCTCCTCCTGTGCTGCATCTAACTTCAAGTCCAAACCAGAGCACCCCCTGATCAGACACGTAAAGGTCTGAAAAGAGGAGAAAATCCCCGAGGGTTCCTTTAGTTTATTAATACTCCTGTTTTGGTGGCAACTGCTAGTGTGCATGGCATAGCTGTCAATGTGCCAAACACTATACAATACTCTTTACAATATCATCCTTTCCACAACTGGACTCAGTTATGCTATGCTATAAATGGGGAACTTGATGTTTCAAGATGATTAAGCAACTTGCCCAAAACATGCACCAGGGAGTGGTAGATCCAGGACTCAGACCTAGCAAGGTCATCCTCAGAGCCTGTGCAGACTTTCTGGCAGCAGAACTGACAGACTGACCCTGTACCAAATGCCCTCCTCGGCTGGGTCTGGCATCAATAGAACTGCACCCTATGTGACACAGCCGAGAGCACCCCAGGGGTACCCAGCATTTCAAGCATGGTGTTTGCACTCCTGTGCTGTTGGGTGAGTGGGCCCTACCACGTGGTGCAGACTCACTACCGGAAGTCATGTTTTTGGGCTGCAAGTATCCTGTCTGTGTCCTTCCTTGATATCTCTGGTTTTGCTTTATTTATGTAGTTACTTGTTTGTCTGGCCTGGGGGAGATGAGAAAAGCAGGGGTAGAACTGCTGATGATCTTCCATCTGCCAGATCACAGAACCAAAGGCTCTCAACATGCTGAGAGCATCCTGGAAAACTGGGGCTCCTGCTTGCGCTCTAGCTCACTGTGCTGTGTCTTTTGTTTCCAAATCTGTTAAGAGGGAAGGTGACAGTAACATTCTCTACAACGATCAGACAACCCTTAGCATCCTCAACTGCCTTACTAATAGGAGCAGCCAACCTCTGTGGAACCTTCAGTGCCTACTGGGCAAGACACCAAGCATGTCACATAAATTAGTTCATTTAATCTCCACAGCAGTCCAATGATATAGGCACTGTGAATATCCTTATTTTACAGATGAGAAGATTGCTTAAAAAAAGTTAAGTGACTTGCCCAAAGCCATATGACTATTAAGCAATCAACTAAATTCAAGTATAGCTTGGTTGGTTTCTAAAGCATGTTCCCTTAACCATGAAGCCCCTCCACGCAGCTCCCCACTCAGCTCCATACATGTCCACAACCTTTACCTTCAAAAGTGTCCTCAAGTTTGCTGGGGGGATCAGGGGGAGATAGGATGGCTTCTTTATCCCCTTTGTTGTATCAGAAAAGCAATTCAAATATACAACCCTGTGACATGTGTGGGGACAATGACAGTATGGTATGGGCATAAAAGACACTTCTTATCTTCAGGCTAGCACCTTCTCAGGCTTCCCTCTGTCCCAGGACAGCATCATAAACAACTGGATCCTTCCCACTTTTGATTTAGCTTTTCTGCACCATATGGTGTGTTAGAGTTTCCATTCCATAATTAATTTCATTAAATAGTGAATGTGTCAGAACAAGGGACCAATGGATGGATTACTAAATGTATCTATATATGACTCCTATTACAATAGAAAGTGGAAAGGCATTTACAAAGTGCCCACACAGGTGACATTCCATGCTCTGCAAAATGCTAATTATCATCCTTCCCTCCGGCCTCCCTTCTCCCAAATCAAGGGCAATGTTTAAGTCTTTCGTCCTTTCTATCAGGCTGACTTGCTTTGGAAGTCTCTGGGATTCATGATGGATGATCCCCACCCGGCTCTTAATCAGAAGTCCATACACATACTCAACAGTAAGTACCTCCTTGCAATTTCTCAAAGACCAAGTAAAACCTTGTGTCATCTTCAAAGAACTCAATCAGCTCCAAAATGTTCCTTAAACGGGGAAGAACAGAAGGGGACAGGCAGGAAATGATATCATACATTAAAGTCTACTTACAAACAAACAACTCAAGAGTATACAACACCTTGCAGTGGGGGGCTGGGCAGGGAGGGCAGAAATCAACTTGGAATCAGAATGCAGAGGAAAGACCCATGTTTGAGAAGCAGCCAATGGTGTTAGCAAGATTCAGGTCACCTTATCTTTCCATAATGTGTGGTCTCTGGTGTTTTCACCAAGTCTGTGCTGTCAAACCCCAACCCTAAAACCCACTAGGTAGAGTTATAAAAAAGTCCCGGTCACATTAAACTGAATAAAATCTGCAGCCGACTGGAAGCAATTGCGGCTAATAACACTGAATAGTAGGTGTGTGTCCTGGAGGCAAGCAGCAAATAATTACTTGCCCTCCCTCTTGCCCATAAATCACGGGGCAGTATTTACATTGCCTGGAGAAAATGGAAACATCTGTCAAATAGACTTGGGGCCTAACGTGGGCACTGCCAGACCCTAACTGCTAAGCGCTGCTTAATGAAACGGCCGTGTTCACGGCCACCGTAGCACTTGTGGCCTTCCCCGGTGAGCACTCTCCGTCCGCCCGAACACTGTGGTGCTCAGCCAACAAGGTCGTCTTGCAACTCAGGAGAGAATCCACTGGTCTGGCTATTGGAAGTGTTGGGGGCTTTTTTCTTTTAAAGAATGAAATAAACCAAGCAGAGTCTCTAATGCTGAACTAAGAAGCTGCAGGGCTGAAAATCAAGACCTGTCCCTCGTAAAAAAATGCTGACTACTTTGGGAGATGCCAGGCTTTTACTAGTACGAAGGCGTCCAAATAAGATGGCCAAAATGGCCTAATTTGAAGTAAGATTGTAGAGGCAGTGCCTGGAGTTAAATCAACAGCAAGCCCCCAACCTCCAAGCTTAATGACAAAGCCATCAATACACCAGGCCACTAGCTCCCAGCTGACCCTGCCAAGGAGGGGGTAGAGGGGCAATGGAGTCATAGAGGTGACCCTGATTTAAAGCCACAGAGGGAGAGCCACTCATCTGGAGTTGTGGCAAGCAGCACAGGATGGTGAAAATGGGGCTGGAGGTTACCTTGGCCCAGTTACCAAGTAAGGAGTGTCAGGGGTGCCTGTGCATACGCAAACATGCAAGCAAAAGAAACCAGCAGGCACAGCTTCCTCTTCTAAGCTTCCTGACTTGATGGTATCTTCAGGGTTTCAGAAAAGACAGTGCCACTGCTGCTTCCCTTCTTGCTTGCTCTCTCCCAAAGATGGAAGGAGTCCAATTTAGTTATGGATGAGCTGGAACTCACTGGGGGGCTGGGGGTGCCAGGAGATAACCTCCTTGTCTGCAGTGAGGAACCCCACCCATACTCACTTGCTTCCTTGACACTGATAGAGGGTCTCCACCTCTCGGAATACCCTGCTCCGACTGTGTCCAGCTTGCTTTTCGATGATCTGGGGGAGGAACAAAATCAGTCATGTGTGGCCAACTGGCTTCCAAACAGCCCCTCTGCAGGAGACTTCAGGGAGCATGCCAGGCAGAAGACAGGCCAAATCCAGCTCCAAGCAGGAGTCCGGAGCAGGCCTTGGCCACGAAGCAGGAGGGCAGCAGCGTGGCTCCAGGTCTCTGTAGCTCACTGGGGCCTGCTTGGTTCTGGCCAAACACAACACTGAGCAAGCCTTGGAGGTTTGCTGCCCCGAGCTGCCTGGGGAAACTGAGGCAGGCAGGAATGCAGAATGCTCTCTACTCAGCCCCATTCCTGAGGACTGTCTTGTTCTGCCACCATTCCTGCTGGTGCAGGTGGAAGAGTATGGGAGATGGAAGACCTAAGCTTCTGGGCCCAGCCCAGGAAACCTACTTTTTGTGTGGAGCAATTCATATGGGAAAATGCTTCAAAAAGTTTGTGGAAAATTAAATCCTAACGTAAGCTTCTCTTGATGGGAAAAATGCTGACCATAGTTTTCTCATAACACACAAATTTTTCATGTATTTTTTTTTTAAATACATGCATGGCTTTTCAATTTTTGGTACCCAAATAATGATCGTTTTGTTCCATTTTCCCCACAAACATTCTGAAATACCATTGTATGTCATCTCAGTGAACTCTTATGACAATGTCTGAAGACAGGAAGGCATAAAACATTTTGTTACTATACTTCCGAGCTGACTCCAGAGCTCCCTTACATTTGCTCCTTCCCCAAACAACTTCTTCCAGACCCATACACACCTGGTAAACTATGGCTGGAGGAATGGATGAACCAACAGAGGAGCAGGTGGTCTAGGCAGGCACTCACTGCCTCTGGCAAACTCTCTGGGCCTGTGCAGAGCCCCAGACCCAGCTTTGCTGCACAGCCACCCCATGTACAGTGGGCAGCACGAAGAAGGGCAGCATGCTCCTCCATATGGACAATGTGCAGAACACCTCGCACAGCTCCAGTAGCACAAACGCCCATGGCCAGCTGGAATTTTCTAAATACGCGATGTCTGCTAGCAGGTTACTGTGCACCACACTGAGCAATCTAAGAGGTGAGGGTGCTGGGGAGCAGAGGCTACTCAACCCCAACTGCTCAACTCCATTCAGCCAGCATTTCAGATTTTGGTCAGGAAGAGCTACACTTTTTGCTGGCAAGCCTTCTAGTAATAGTCTCTATCTTTCTAAAGAGGTGATGGGCTCTTGCTATCAGAGATGAGGGAGCAGAAAAAAAGTAGGACATGGACAATGATTTGGGAAGTCACAGAGGGAATTCAAGATCCCATTATTTTGAAATTCTATGGGGATCCTGAAACTGTAGAATTCAATAATTAGATGATACAAAGAAAACCCCCCAAAACCAAGTATTGTGGGGCCATGACAGAGGAAGCAGCCATCTGTAGGGAGCTTTTGAAGACTAGGGAAGACATGATACACGGGTAGGACTGCTGAAGCCAAAGAACTGCGAGCCAGGGCCCAGGGTTTCCTGAGTGATGCCAGGGTACAGGGAGGAAAGGTGAGGTTTTCCGCCTGTGATAGAACCCTAAAGCTATAAATCTGTCATCCATAATGGCACTCAAATCTTTGAAAGTCAATGTGTGTGTGTGTGTGTGTGTGTGTGTTTACCATAGTTAGGCATTCTTTTTTAATTACTTGCAATTTACATCAATCTATTTTCAAAAAGAAACAGAAGTGTTGTTCTCTTAGAAACCACAGCTAGGACTGTGAAATAACAGAAAATGCTTTTTTCAGGTAAAATGGGTTGGGCTTGCCAGTACAAGGCAGCACTGAGACCTACAGTTTCAGAAGGAGGATTTGAAAAACATTTGAGGCATCTCTTGAACTTAATAAGACCTTTTCCCTAGGTGAGTGGTCCTCAAACTTCAGCCAGTCTCTCAATCACCTGGGAAACTTAGTGAAAATAAAATACAAGAGTGACATGCAGAGTAGTAGTTAAGATGCCCCTTGTGATGCCCACATTGCATAGTGGAATGCCCGGGTTCAAGTCCAGGGAATGCTCCAACTTTAGATGACGCTTAAATGTTTGGGTCACTGCGGCCAGCGGTGTGGTGCCACAGGTTAAACTCCCATATCTGAGTGCTGGTTTGAGTCTTGGTGCTCCACTTGAAATCCTATATCCTGGGCCCGGCATGGTGGCCTAATGGCTAAAGTCCTTGCTTTGAACATGCCAGGATCCCATATGGGCGCCAGTTCTAATCCTGGTAGCCCCACTTCCCATCCAGCTCCCTGTTTGTGGCCTGGGAAAGCAGTCGAGGATGGCCCAAAGTCTTGGGACCCTGCACCTGCGTGGGAGACCCAGAAGAGGATCTGGGCTCCTGGCTTTGGACCAGCGCAGCACCAGCCATTGCAGTAACTTGGGGAGTGGATCATTGGATGGAAGATGTTTCTCTCTGTCTCTCCTCCTCTCTGTATATCTGACTTTGCAATAAAAATAAATAAAATCTTAAAAAAAAAAAAGAAAGAAACCCTACATCCTGATCACAGCCTGGGAAAAGCAGAAGATGGCCCAGAGCTTGGGCCCCTGCCACTCACACGGGAGATGCTAAAATGGCTCCTGGCTGCAGCCTAGCCTAGGCCTGGTTATTGCAGTCATCTGGAAAGTGAACTGGTGAATGAAGGATTCTTTCTCTATGCCTCTCCTTCTTTTTCTGTAACTCTGAACATAACTAATAAAATACATCTTCATAAAAAGACCAATATTGGACCCGGCACGGTAGCCTAGTGGCTAAAGTCCTTTCCTTGCATGTTCCAGAATTCCATATGGGTGCTGGTTCATATCCCGGCTGCTCCACTTCCCATCCAACTCCCTGCTTGTGGCCTGGGAAAGCAGTAGACAACAGCCCAAAACCCTGGGACCCTGCACCCGAGTGGGAGATCCAGAAGAAACACTTGGCTCCTGGCTTCAGATTGACTCAGTTTCTGCTGTTGTGGCCACTTATGGAGTGACCAGCGAATGCAAGACCTTTCTCTCTGTCCTCTCTGTACAACCTGACTTTCCAATTACCAAAAAAAAAAAAAAGGTACTTCACTTACAGATGTGGGAACTGGGACTTAAGGAGCTTCAGTGACTTGCCCAAAGTCAAACAGTAATATTTTGTCAAAAGAGAATCAGCCTTCTGATGCCAGATCTGGCAAGCTGCTTTCTGAGGCTGATCTTACCAGAATCATCAGAGACCTGCTATGAGCCAGACGCGGTTCTAAGCATTTCACACACATTACCCAGTGTTATAACAGTTCTGGTAAGGGTTCTACGATTACATTCATTTCACACAGGAAGAAATGGAAGGACAAAGAGGTGAAGCAGCTTGTTTGGAGTGGCACAGCTGCTAAGTGGAGAAAGTTAGATTTGCATCCGGAGATGGCAGCTTTGCAGAAATATAAAGCTTCTTTGGTTTAGGCCAAGCTAGGAACGGCTGCCAAGCCAGGCCCGGTGTGCAGATGAGACACTCACTTTGACAGCATACTCTTTGCCATTCTGCAGGCTCACGGCACCTTGAACTTTGGCATAGGCTCCCTCTCCCAGCAATTCAGAGGTCAGCTTGTACGTATCTAGAGGTGAAACGGGTGAGATGAATTACAAGATGAGTCAACCCACTGCACCCAGCTTTCCCAGTGGGACAACATGGACAGAACAGGTGCAGGATGACCATGGAGCACTTGATGATGAGAAAGACACTCTGCTTCCCAGCCATCTCAGGACTCTGTCTTAACAAGACCGCATGGGAAGCATCCTATCCTCATCTTAGTGTTGAGGCTGGTCAAAGGGTTCAATTCAGCAGCTATTTCCTGGGTACCTAGTGTGTGTCAGACAGCACAGGAGGGACAGAATGAGGACACGCTTGAGTCCCTCCCCATCCAGCAGTCATGGTGCAGTGGGGTAGACAGATACACACACAGTAGCTTCAGAATACGCTAGTTATTGGTACTGGTAAGGACTGTTGCTAAGGGACAAAGTAAAGGAGAAAACCTGGGAAAGGTTAAATCTGGCTAGGCAGTCTGGGGGATCTTCCTATAAGGGGTATGATTTGAATGAACATCATCCATTTTCATCCAACTACTCATTTGTTGAACACCTACCATGCGCCAAGCATAGGTGGGAATAAAACACAATTCTATTTTCTACTACGTAAAAATGGAAGTCACTGGAGGCTTCTGAGAACTTTTCCAGTAGTCACCCACAGAAAATAAGAGACGGATGTAGCATGCAGATGATACATGTTCCAGGGTGCTGAGTCAGGGTGGCTGCTAACAGAGTAGTAGGCCTCGGTTGAGAACACCTGGATGAACTGCCAGAGCTCACAAACAGCACAGGCTCTCGAACTCCTCTCCTGGGCAAGCCCTCGCTGGGCTGCCCTTGTGCTCCCTCGGGCCCGTTCTTCAGTGCTTTTCTCTTGAGGAATTTTAAACCGCAGACTGAGCTGAATATTTCCAAGCCATGAAATGACATTTTATCACTCTTAGGCATGGCAAGTCCTAAAACTGCACAGGCAATCCTTAAATAGGGACCACTGAGAGAGCATAAGGCCTGCTGATTTGGAACCTATCTGAAAAACCCCTGAGACATTTTCTATCTTGCCCTTCTCACACACACACACACACACACATACACACACACACACACACACCTACTGTCTCAGTGAGGTGACACCAACCCAAAACCCCTGCACTAAGTACATTCTTGGTCCTACTGTCTCAGTGAGGTGACACCAACCCAAAACCCCTGCACTAAGTACATTCTTGGTTCTATCAGTCTGATCTTGCAGCTGTTTATAAAAACAGATGGTGCATTATTGGTTAAGTATTGTAAATGTCATACATCTCTCTCAGCGGTCACTTTGACATGAGGTTTCTATATGAACCGACATGGATAGGTTGTTGGAAGTCCCATAATCCTAACAAAATGCATGTTACTAGAACACACTACAAGATAATCAGTTCACTGGTGTGTCTATAACACTGGAAAGAAGGACCTCAAAAGAAGGTATTTTTGGTCTCAAAGAAAGAATCAAGAGTTAAAGCAGGCAAGCTACTTGTAGCAGTATTTCCTGATCCCATCTGAACTCTGTAGAAGTATGTTGGGAGTTCCCTCACCCCATCACTTGATCACCCAGGGATCACAGCACTAGCACTGAGCCTTGTGCCTCACATAAGGACAGGTTCCACAAGTGCTTGATGAGCCAATATTGCTTTTCCTGAACACCCCAGGCACTCTTAAACACGGGGTCAGGCATGTGCAGTATAGGTAGCTGCCATCTCTAGGAGCCAAATTCTTTACTTTGACATAATGGAAGTTTCATTTGCAGCCACTGCCCCTGGTGCTTCCTGCTTCCTTTAATATAGCTGTTGTATTTCTCAGCAGCCCCTTCAGGAACAGATAGGGGAGGAACCAGCTGAAAAGAAGCCAGAGCACCCTGGGCAATCTCAATGCACACGCAGCCCCAATAGGTTGGTCTTCCCACTGAGAGGTTCCCAGCCCATTCACAGGGGGCCAGGTGCACCATCTGAGAGCCATGAGGGGCCCTGCTCTCTCCTTCCTTTGTGTAAATGCATTCATCCCATCTTCCCCTGCCCCCATCATACAGCTAACTCCAGCTGGCTCCAAGATAATGCAGTCTGATATCTGGACCCTAGGGCCCCAGAATGCTTCTCCATGTTTGGGGAGGGAGCTACGGCCCAGATCTGGGACAGCCATGATACTGACCTTCAAACTTGCCTGGTAAGGAGTCAGCAGCCCGGGCTTTCCGCTTCTTCTTCTTCCTTTTGTCACTGTCTGAGATGGAAAGGGGCTCACTACTGCCCATCTCTGGGAAGAAAGAGGAGAAGTCAGGGAAATACCACTGTACTGATCAGGCTTTAGGTTCACCCGGAAGGGGAGAAGGGAGGGAGGCCCAGGAGCTTTACCCTGATGGTTTTTAAATATCTGTGAGGGCTATTGATTTGTTTTGACCCAGGAGGCAAAACTAAAGGCAAAACCATTATAGGAGATCATTAACTGTGGAAAGGAACTCAGACAGGCAGGCTAGATTAAAAGAGGATAGCAGAAGCCTGCTTTAATCAAGCTCATTAGTGCGTGGATTTAGATCTGCCACCAGTCAAACTGTTATTTCCCCAATAGAGCAATGAATTGTGAGATCTCCCCCTGTGACCTCCTCCAGCCTCAGCAGGACCCAGGGGGCTGAGCAAGAAGTAGGGGTGGAAACAGGCTCTTGAGGATGAAACTAGAGGCTCAGCAACCTCCCTGTGGGGGAGCACAGTGAAGACAGCACCTGGAAAGGCAACAGCAGGGCTGGGAACAGCAGGGCTGAGAAGAGCCTCAAACCCCTGCATGTCCAACAGCACAGACTGAGGGCCAGGAGCCCCTCCCCTCCCTGGTTCTGTCCTAGGGGACAATGCAAGCAGGGTCCTTCCAGAAGCCTGTGGCTGACAGGTTCCTGAAGAGCTGCTGGGTAAGGTCACTTAGGGCAAACACATTATTATCTCTCCCTGTCCTGCACCTGGCGCCCCATCTTCAAGGGAAGATTCGTGAGGCAGACATCCAGACACTGGACAGGAGAGTCAGGCAGGGGAAGAGAACAGGAGGGCCAGTAGACTGGGGCCCAGTCATAGTACTGTTCCTAAGACACTAGAGTTGGGCCGTCCCCTGTGAAAGATAAATTACTTATAGAACATGTCATGCCCCTGATCCAGAGTGGAGCCTTAATACTCTTTGCCTGCAGTTAGAAATAATAAGATTTCTCTGAAGTCTCTGGGTCTAAATCCCCACCAGGGTGATTAAACCTTTACATCCTTCTAAAATAGAGGCACTCAAGTGCTGATGGGGCGGACGATGTGAGAGACTTGCAGACCAACCTTCGATAAACACTGGCTCTGGGTTGCTGGAATTTCTTCTTTCTTTGAGAGTCAGAGATTTTTAAATGGAAGCTGGCTCTTTGCCCACTGAAGGGAAAAGCCCACTCTTTCGGAGGATGTAGTTGTACATGTTCAGGGAACCAGCCTGCTGGGAAGACTGATTAGCACAGATGCACAGTCATGCGCAGCCGCTAGGAGGACACGCAGGACGGTGCTGAAACCACACCCCAGCAAGCACGGCTGGACAAACAAGGGCCTGCTGGCTCAACTGAGACACATTCTTCCTTGCATTTTGAGGCTCTGCTAACTGCACAATTTACATCGATCTTTTGAATGCAGAGCAGACCAACACTCATAAAAGAAATCTACTGAAGATCGCAAAACAGTACTGCAGCCAACAACTGCAAGCACAGTTGTAGATGGGAAGTGCAATGCCCTATGAGCTCAAAGCAATGCATGGAAGCATGCCAGCACTGGAGTGTCTACCCTCATCATGGGGAACTCAAGGGAAAAAGGGGTTCCAACTGCTTCTCCTAAATACAATGAGGAACTCTGCAGACATAGTATGCGGGTAACTCAGCTTCTGGAACTCAGGGACGGGCAAGGGACTATGTGTCTGGGAGCTCTGGCCTTCCTGCCCTGACCGTGCACGGAGTCCAAGGCCAACCCTGACCCAATTTATTTCTTCAGCCCTGCAAGCCAAGTGCCAGGCAGACAGCTTTCAGGTTCAACTCATTCTCTATCCCCTGGTCAGATTGAGGGCCTGGGGACAAGCAAAACAGCCAGCAGGCAGGCAGTGCAGAGCAGCGGTGAGAGAGCTGGCAACGTTACAATTCACATGGGATGGCTCAGACATACTTACGACTCTAGCTAGAAAACCCTGTTAGCGGCAATTTATCCTTGGCCTTTATCACAGCAGGGCTGCGGGAGCCTCTTGCGGACGAAGCACGCCTTTGCGCTTGGCTGCACACTCAGGCTTTATGGTTGCACGTGAGAAGATAGAGTACCTGGTCTATTCTGCATGGATTCAACAGAATGGGGGGATGCCCGAAGGTACAAGCGGTCAAGATTTGCCTTGGAAACAGAACCTGTTGAAGGAGAGTTGTGTTTGGAACTAGAAAGGAAAATGTAGGAAGAGAGTGAAGTGAAAGAAACACACTTAACTTCCCTATTTGCACTGGGGCTGGGCATGGAGACAGAGAGGGAAGTCATCACGCCAAGGGCTGGCTGGGTCCCGCCTGGAGGCTGGCTGAGTCCACAGACAGGTCTGGGGCACCTTAGTTTATCAGGCATACGATCACTGGCTAAATGTTTCCTCTGGGTATAAGGCCCTAGAGTCAAGGGGCACTTTGGCACACAGGCTTCCCTTGGCCTAGGAATTCTTCTTGGCTATCAAAATGCAGCTGAAAAGCCCTGGTCCTCTTGCAGCTCCATTATGCCTCTGGACAAGCTAAGGTTTGTGCAAACACTTTTCAAGCCAGGTTGGTGCTGAGAAAACAGGGTGCTGAGAAGCACATCTGCTTCCTGCTCCACTGCGAACAGCCCCCGAGCACTGACTGTATGTGGCCCTGTATTCCTAAAGGTCAAGACTGTCCCCCGCTCACTCCATTATCTCCTGTATGCTACGACACAGCATCAGACTCACAGCAGCCAGCAGACGCTGTGTACTGGCATGGGTCTGACACGAGATGGCTCACACTGTAAGTACCACATGCCGTGCAAGTCACACAGGCCCTGGAGGTTTACGACGTGCAGGCTGAAGCACAGGCTCAACTCTGCTCTGCAGGCAATGTGAAGGCAGGGCACGGAGATGAATTTCATTCAGGCATTTTCATACATTCCTGAGAAACTTCCCCTCAAAAATATGTCCTGTGATGCAAAATGTCCTTCTTTTCTAGCCAGAAGCCAGGTCTCTGTTACAGGATTGGGCAATGAGTGTGTTACTGCAGAGGAGAAAGTGAGATTTCTTTTTAGACCCAGACCAATCTGGAAGCTCTCAGTATTTCCACTGCCTCCAATGCTTCCTTCCTCTCGGGCAGGGCGCGGCAGCCATTACCCAAGTGTGTTGGCACAAGGGGAGATGGAAGTGGACAGAGAGTAGGCTTCTGATGGGCAGGCATCATAGGAATGGCATCAGCAGACCAAGATACCAGTCCTGACTCAGTACCAGAAAGTACCAAGGCCAACTGACTTTCTTTTTAAGAGCCTCAGTTTTGGGGGTCAGTATTGTGGTGCAGCAGGTACAGCTGCTGTTTGTACATATGGGTACCAGCTCATGTGCTGGCTGTTCTGCTTCCAATCCAGTTTCCTGATAATGGTCTGGGAAAAGTAGACACAGATAACTCAAGTACTTGGGTTCTTGTTACCCACTTCGGAAATATGTATAGAGTCCTGGATCCTGGAAAACCACTTCCTTTGTCTCTCCCTCTATCACTCTGCCTTTCAATTAAATTAGTTTTTAAGATTTATTTATTTTTTATTACAAAGTCAGATATACAGAGAGGAGGAGAGACAGAGAGGAAGATCTTCCATCCAATGATTCACTCCCCAAGTGAGCACAACGGCCAATGCTAGCCAATCCGAAGCTGGGAACCAGGAACCTCTTCTGGGTCTCCCACGCAGGTGCAGGATCCCAAAGCTTTGGGCCGTCCTTGACTGCTTTCCCAGGCCACAGGCAGGGAGCTGGATGGGAAATGGGGCTGCCGGGATTAGAACCGGCACCCATATGGGATCCCAGTGCGTTCAAGGTGAGGACTTTAGCCATTAGGCCACGTCGCCAGGCCCTAAATAAATCAGTTTTTTTTTTTAAAAGCTTTTGTGTATATTCACATATGCAAGTATGCACAGATCCAAATGCAGAACAAAAAGACCAGATGGAAGGCACAATATTGCTAACATTCCCATGTTTTTAGAGTGCCAGATACGTGCTGGTCATAGTGCTCAGTATATTATTAGTTCTAATTCTTAGAATAATCCCAAAGGGTAGTATTCTAGGCAAGGAAGCAGGGCCAGAACAGGCAGCTTGTAGGTTAAATATGCTAGCAAGTGGCACACATCTAGTGAGGGGTTTAATTGGGATTCAAGTCAGAGATGCCCTTTCACGCCCAGCCATTGCTGATCTATATAGATGTCTCTGTATGATGGATTGATTTTTTATTCATTGTATTTTTTGATATTTTTCAAGCTGTGTACAGTGAAACTTAGTATTTTTATAATGTTATTTAAACCAAGTTTTACCTCTTAATAAAATCCATAAAAATTTTTCTCCAGCACACATTGGAAGAAATAATCTGAATACAGTTTTTAAAAATGTATCTGGACTCTCTGTATCAAAATTGAACAGTATATGATAAAAATAATTTCAGAAATATTGATGTCTTGAAGACAGTAATTTTATAACCATGAAAAAGCAACAACTGCTGGGGCAGGCGTAGCTGGCTTAGCTCCACATCCGATATTGGAGTATCTGGCTTGAATTTTGGCTCTGTTGATTCTTAGCCCACTCCTTGCTAATGAGTTCCCTGGGAAACAGCAGAGGATGGCTCAAGTTCTTGGGTCCCTGGCACTCATGTGGGAGATTCAGACTGAGTTCCAGGCTCCTGGCTTGGACCTGGGCCAACCCTGGCTTTTGTGAGCACTTGTGGAGCGAATCAGCAGAGGGAAGATCTCTGTCTCCCTTTCTTCCAAATAAAATAAATAAGTTAAAATAGCTTTTGTTTTAAAACTGCTATTTTGTAGGATGAAATACTCTATAAAAATAAAGGGCCCAGCGCAGTAACCTAGTGGTTAAAGTCCTAGCCTTGAACGCACCAGGATCCTATATGGGTGCTGGTTTGTGTCCTGGCAGCCCCACTTCCCATCCAGCTCCCTGCTTGTGGCCTGGGAGCAGTAGAGGATGGACCAAAGCCTTGGGACCCTGCACCCACGTGGGAGACCCAGAAGAGGTCCCTGGTT